CCAAACCGGGACAGCCCCCCCACCTTGTGTTCAGTGCCCCCCGAGCCCCCACCCCACACACTCGAAGATCTTGCCCAGCTGATCGGCCTCGGAGCTCCCGCAGAACAGCGGCCTGGGGGGACAGGGCACACGGGGGGCTGGGCACAGGGGACACCCCACAGGGAAGGGACCCCCAGCAGCACCCGGGTGACCCCAGGAGTGTCCCCATGTCCCCACAACCGTGTCCCCCTCCGTGTCTCCCCGCTCCATGTCCCCGTGTCCCACGTCCCATGTGAACCCCATTTCCCCACGTGTCCCCTCGTTTCCCCCATCCCTGTCCCTGTGTCCCCCACCCCATGTCCTTCCCCGGTGTCCTCACTGTGCCCCCCACATCTGGGTCCTTGTGCTGGTGTCCCCATGTCCCCTCCATGTCCCTGTGTCCCCTCCATGTCCCTGTGTCCCCATCTGTCCCTCCTGTTCCCCCCACCCCCTGCCCCCCTCACTCCCCCCCGCTCCCCCCCCGTCCCTCTGTTCCCCCATGTATCCCTGTCCCCCCCCAGGTGTCCCCATGTCCCCCCAGGTGTCCCCCCAGGTGTCCCCCCGGTGTCCCCCGGTGTCCCCTCACTTCCTGCGGAACATCTCAGCGAAGATGCACCCCACGCTCCACATGTCCACGGGGGAGGCGTAGGCAGCCCGGAGCAGCACCTCGGGGGCTCTGTACCACAGTGTCACCACCTGTCCCCCCCCGGCACCCAGAGCGTCACCAGGGACCCCCAGCAGTGACCCAGTGCCCCAGAGCCGTGGCAGCGGTGTCCCCGCAGTGTCCCCAGTGTCACCCTGGGAGCCACAGCTCCTGGGAGTCACGGCCACCATCCCCTGACACCACCCGGCTCTAGGACCACCCGAGACCCCAACTCGGGGGGTCACCGCCCCCTCAGCCCACCCCAGGCACTGTGACCCCCCCCGGACGCACCACGGGGGTCAGGGCCATGTGGCAGCCGTAGATCCGGGCCAGCCCGAAATCGGCCACCTTGAGCTGCCCCGCGCTGGTCACCAGCACGTTCTGGGGTTTGAGGTCGCGGTGGACGATGCGCTGGGCGTGCAGGAAATCCAGGGCACGCAGGAACTGCCGCATCAGGTCCTGGGGGGACACGAGGTCAGGGACCCCCCCCCCGTGCCACCCGGGGCCTCGGGACCCCCCGAGCCCACCTTGATGGTGTCGGGGGGCAGCCCTGGGGCCGGAGCCTTCTCCAGGAAGGTTTTCAGGTCCTGCTCCACGTGCTCGAACACCAGCGTGACCTTGGCCTCATGTGGGGTGCGGGCACTGGCACAAACGTCCATCAGCCTGGGGACAGGGACATGGGGACAGGGACATGGGGACAGGGACATGGGGACAGGGACAGGGACATGGGGACAGGGACAGGGACATGGGGACAGGGACAGGGGGACAGGGACATGGGGACAGGGGGACAGGGACATGGGGACAGGGACATGGGACAGGAACACGGGGACAGGGGGTCAGGGACATGGGGACATGGGGTGTGACAGGGCCGGTGAGACACCTGCTGTACCCATGGACCCCATCCCTGCTCTGGGACCCCAAAACTGCTCTGGGACCCCCAATCCTGTCGTGGGACCCCAAAACTGCTCTGGGACCCCCACATCCCTGCCCTGGGACCCCCCGTCCCTGCCCTGGGACCCCTCCCTGGCCGGGACCCCTCCCTGTCCGGGACCCCTCCCTGCCGCCCGGTGGGTGCCCCGCAGGGACAGCGGCCCCCGGCTCTCACCGGACGATGTTGGGGTGCTCGAGGTGCTCGAGGCGGCGCAGCAGAGCCACCTCCCGCACGGTGCTGGGGGGCAGCCCGGCCCCCCCCGTGGGCACCCGCACGTTCTTCAGCGCCACGAAGCGTCCGCTGAGCCGGTCCCGAGCCTTGAACACGGAGCCGTGCGCGCCCACCCCCAGCTCGGCCACCGGCTCGTACTGAACCTCCTGCGCCATCCTGGGGGGGCAGAGCCTCAGCGACACCCCCAAACCCCCCCGCACCCCACTCCGGCATCCTGGGCTGCCACGAGACCCCGGCCCCCTCCTCCAGCCCCCCCAATTCCCGCTCCCACCCCCGTGACCCCCAGCACCCCAAAGCCCCCCGCGGCGCTCAGGTCAGACCCCACCCCACCGTGTCCCCCCTGCCCCCCCAAACCAGCCCCCCCCAGCCGCTGGGACCCCCCGACAGCCAGAGCTCCCCAGCCGGGACCCCCCGCTCCAGCCACCCCCGGGCGCTGCCCCTCTCCCCCCGGGGGTCTCTCCGGGATTGGAGGAGGGGGTGTCAAAGCTGGGGGGTCCCGGGGGGGGCCCGGAACTCACCGGGCGGCGCGCGGGGCAGGGGGGGAGGGGCGGGGGCGCCGGAACAGGCGGGAGGGGCGGGCGGAAGGGCCGGGGGGGGAGGGGCGGGACGGGGGGAGGGGCAAGGGGACCCCCGGGAACCCCCGGGAGGGGGGAGGGGCTCGGACCCGCGGTGAGAGCGGCGGAGGCGGGGGGAGGGGAGGGGCAGGAGGGGGGACCCCTCCTCACCTGATGGCCACGGCCCCCTCCCCTCTCCTCCCCCGGCTCAGGGGTCTCCAACACCCCCAGGTCCCCCCAGGCCCGGTCAGAGCCCGCGCTCACCTGTCCCGTTCCAGAAGGTTCCTCACCTGAGGTGATCCCTTCACACCGGTGCCACCCCCAGGGGCTCCGGGACCGGCCCCACCCCCACCTGCGCCCCCCGCCCTGTTTGCAGCCCGGGGTGACCCCCCCGGGGGGTTGGGCGTGTCCAGGTGAGCCCCCTCCCAATTCCCCTGCCCGAGGGACCCTCCCCTCGTCCTTCTCCTGCTCACCTGGTCCCTGTGGCACCTGGGGGAGGGGGGGTCACCACGCTCGGCTGCCTCAGGGTCCCCACGAGGGTCCAGAGTCCCCTGTGCTGACGTCAGCCCCTCCCCCACCCGGGACATTGCCCCCCCCCCACCGCGGGCGGCACCGACCGGGTTAAACCTCACGGGGGTCCGGGGGTTCCCGACGCCCCCCACCCCTGCTGGGTTACCCCAACCCCTCCCCCCCGGTGCCCCCCTGACCCCAAACACGCCCGGGGGGGGGTCACTCACCACCCCTCCCCCCCAATGGGTATCGTGAGGTGTCCGGGGGTCCCGGGGGTCCCTCTGAGCCCCGCTCTGGCCGCGGCCCCTCCCCCCGCGAAGATCTCAGGGTCCCCCACCCCCCCATGGGGAGGGGGCTGGGCTCCCCCCGCCCCCCGCGGGGCCGCGTCACCCCCGGCGCACCGGGACAGGTCGGGACCGGTCCCCCCATCCCCAGCCCGGGGGGGTCACGGGGGGGGAGGGGTTGAGTCACAGGAGGGGGGTGGGGAGGTGAGACCGGAGCTCCGGCAGCAGCAAAATCCCAAAATCACTTTATTGGCCAATAAATAAACCCAAATCCCCCGGCAGAGGGGGAGCGCTGCAGGGCTGGGGACACCCTGGGGTCACAGCCACCACCAAGGCTGGGGTCACCACGGGGTTGGGGACACCTTGGGGTCAGAGCCAGCACAGGGCTTGTGACACTGCTGGGGTCAGGACCACCACGGTCGGTGTCACTGTGGGGCCACAGCAGTGTCAGGGCCAGTTCTGGAGTTGGGGTCACCAGGAGTCACCCACAGGGTCAGGGCCACCACAAGGTCCAGGGACCTGATGACCTTGGGGACACTGTGGTGTCAAGGCCACCACTGGGGTGAGTGTCATTACTGGTGGTGAAGTCAGGACCAGGGTCAAGGTCCCGCCGCTGTCCCTGGGTCTCCAAAGCCTCTGGTGTCCCCAGTGTCCCCACTGTCCCTGGGTCTCCAAAGCCTCTGGTGTCCCCAGTGTCCCCGCTGTCCCTGGGTCTCCAAAGCCTCTGGTGTCTCGGCTGTCCCCGCTGTCCCCGCTGTCACCGCTCGAGGAAGCGCAGGCTGATGGGGGTGGCGGGGGCCAGCAGGGTGCGGGTCATGGGGCGCACGCGGCCCCCCCCGGGCTCCGGCCGCACCTCGAAGCGCAGCAGGATCTGGGGGAGTGGGGACAGGTGAGTGACACCGCGGGGACATTGCGGGGACATCGCGGGGACGGGAACACCCACCTGTGCCAGTGCCATGTGCAGCTGCAGCTCAGCCAAGCGGCGCCCGACACAGCTGCGAGGGCCGAGGCCGAAGGGCAGAGAGGCGAAGGGGTGCCCGGGGCCGGGGGGGTGCCCGGGGCCGGGGGGGTGCCCGGGAGTGTCCCCAGGCGTGTCCCCGCTGTCCCCGTGGCGCAGCCAGCGCTCCGGGCGGAAGGCGTCGGGCGCTGGGAAGAAGCGGCTGTCGCGGGACGTGGCGTAATGGCACAGGGTGATGAGGGTCTGCAGGGACACGGGGGTCAGCGGGGACACCCTGGGGATGCCCTGGGGACACCGGGAGCCCTGGAGTGTGCGATGTCCCCAGCTCACCTGGCGTGGCACCAGGTAGTCACCAACGCGGATGTCGCAGTTGGGGACGACGCGGGCATTGGCCGGGATGACAGGGTACAGCCTGCAGGGGAGCACGCCTGGATGTCACCTCCCTGTCCTCCTCATCCTCATCCCCGTCCTCATCCCATCTTGACTTCATCCCTTCCTTGTCCCATCCTCATCTCTGCCCTGTCCTGCTCTTCACCCTCGTCCCCATCATCACCCTCATCCTCATCTTCCTCCTTGTCCCCATTCCTGTCCCCATTTTATCCCCTTCATCCACATCTTCATCCCCACCCCTGGCCCCACCTTCATCCACGTCCTCATCCCCATCCTTGTCTTCATCCCTTCCTTGTCCCCATCCTCATCCTCCTTCCCATCTTCCTCCCTGTCCCCACTCCTGTCCCCATTTTATCCCCAAACTCATCCTCTCTCCATCCCAATCCCGACCTGTCCCTGTCCCCATCCTTGTTCCCATCTTTATTCACATCCCTGTTCCTGTCCCCATCCCTGTGTCCCTCACCCGTGTCCATGTGTCCCCATCCCCGTGTCCCCATCCCCGTGTCCCCATCCCCGTGTCCCCATCCCCCCCTGTCTGTCCCCATCCCTGTACCCCTCTGTGTTCCTGTCCCCGTCTCCCACTCCCCCTTCGCCATTCCCACGTCCTTTCCGTGTCCCATCACTGTCCCCCGTGTCCCTGTCACCTGAGGGTCTCCTTCACCACAGCCCGGAGCAGCGGCAGCCGTGCCAGCGCAGCGGCGGTGGCAGCAGCAGTGGCCCTGTCGGTGGTGGCACTGTCACCGCGGGTGCCCCTGTTGGTGGCAGTGGCAGCCAGCAGCTCGCGGTGCAGGGCCGCCTGCGTCCCCGGGTTCCGCGCCAGCTCGTACAGGCTCCAGGCCAGCGTGCTGGCCACCTGGGGACACGGGGGACATCAGCGGGACCCACAGTGACAACAGGGACACCCCAGTGTCACCCCCCTCCTCACCGTGTCCACCCCGGCCAGCAGCAGCTCGGTGACGTTCCCGTAGATGCTGCTGACGGGGACGTGCTCCCGGGCCAGCAGGTCGGTGACACACGTGTCCCCCTCGGCCGGTGACCCCCACGCGGCCACCTCGGCCACGCGCCGGTCCACGTGTCCCTTGGCTGGGGACAGCAACAGCCATCAGTGCCACCGTGGCCACACGGTCACCGAGTCCCTTGACTGGGGACAGCACCCTGGCAGTGTCACCGCAGCCACGTGCCATCGATGCATCCCTCAGCTGCGGGATGATGGCGTGGGACTGTCACCATGGCCATGGGACATCCCTGTGACCCCACAGGATGTCTCTGTGTCCCTTGGATGTCCCCATATCCCTCCCCTGTGTCCCCTCACCACGGCCCTGGGATGTCCCTGTGTGTCCCCATGTCCCCTCAGCTGCAAGTGAGCAGGAGGGTCCCTATAGCCATGGGACATCCCCACACCCCTCTGGGATGTCCCTGTGTCCCCGTATGATGCCCTGGTGTCCCCGTGGGATGGCACCATGTCCCCATGGGACGTCTTCATGGTGTCCCCCGCGTCCCCCCTGTCCTCCCTGTCCCCGTGTCCCCTCACCGAAGGCGAAGAGCTGGTCCCAGGCGCGGCAGAAGGCGTCCCAGGGCGCAGGAACGAGGCGCAGGAGGGGACGGGGCAGTGCCATTGTCACCAGCGTCAGTGCCAGCACCGCCCCCACGCAGCGGATCACACCCTCGGCGGCCTCGCCGGTGTCCCCCAGGCAGCCCAGGCGGGACGAGAACAGCACCCAGGAGATGGCTGCGGGACAGGGGGGACACTGGGGACATGGGGACACGGGAAACACCGGGGGTGGGGGACACTGAGGGGGGATCCAAGAGTCCCTGGGGACATTGGGGGGACAGAAGGTGCCCTGGAGACCTGGGGGACGCGGGGAGTCCTGCTGGGGGCCCTGGGGATCCCTGGGGTGCCTTATGGGGGGGGTCCCTGTGGGGGGGTCACAGCCTTTGGGGTGCCCCATCCCCTTTTGGGGTCCCCTCTCACCCTCGAGGCCGAAGCGGTTGAACTCGGTGCCGATGTCGGGGACGATCCCCCGCGGGTGCTGCCGCCGCAGCCGCTGCAGCCGCGCCACCAGCTCGGCCACCACGGCGGCCACCGGCCCCGCGAAGGCCTCGGCAGCCCCCGGGCGGAGCAGCCCCCGCGCCAGCACCCGCCGAGACCCCCGCCACGCCTCGCCCTCCCTGGGGACCGGGACACGCGTCACGGGGGCTGCGGGGACACGAGGGACACGGGGACACGAAGGACGCAGAGGACAGACGGACAGATGTGGGTGGAGGACGCAGGACAGGGGTGAGGAATGGGGACACGGGTGACACCGGGCATGGAGGGGACGTGGGGACACGCGGGAGGAGGGGGACAGGGACACAGAGGGGGATGGGGGGACAGGGACATGGCAGGGACAAGGGACACAGGTAATGGCACGTGGGGACATGCAGAAACGGGGTGGACAAGGACATGGGGGGACATGGGGGGTGCCAGGACACGAGGGGGGGTCAGAGACACACCCAGGGTGAGGGACAGGGACACGGGTGGGGGATGGGCACAGGGGAAGTGAGGGGCGGGGAATGGGGACACGGGGGACTCAGGTGGGACACGGGGGACACAGGGGGGACACGGGGGACACAGGGGGGACACGGTCTCCCCACGAGGCAGTGCCAGGGCCCCCCCCAGGTGTGATCAGGGGCACCTGTGAGAGTCACCGGGTCCCCGTGCCCACGGCGGGGGCTGGGGGACAGCGGGGGGGTGGGGGCTGCACAGGGGTTTGGGGTCCCTCCCCCTGCCCACGCGGGGGCCGGGCTCCCCCCGGGCAGTTACTCACATCCTGCGTGGGGGGCGGGGGGGCAGGAGGAGGGGAGGGGGGGCTGAATCACGCCTGAGTCACCCCGGGCCCCCCCGCACCCCACGGGCCCTTCCCGGAACGGGTGCGGGGGGAGCCCCTGGGGCTACGGACACCCCCAGCTCATGGGGAGCCCTGAGGGTCCCTGTGCGACCCCCCCTCCTCAGTGTCAACCCCCCAAATCCCACGTGCATCCCCCACCCCCCCGCGCCGCCCCCGGCCCCCCGCATCAAGGCTCCAAACCCCAATCCCAGCCCAAAGACCCCCCTGGACAACCCCCGAGCCCCCCATGGGCAACTCCCGGACCCCCCGAGCAGCCCCCAGCCCCTGTCAGCCCCCCATAAATGCCCCCTCCGCGCACTCACAGGGTGAGGAGCCCCCCGGGCACCCCCCGGAGGCTCCGATGCTCCTTCCAGGGGCAGCTCAGGGCTCGGCGGGGCTCCAGCACCTGAGCCACGAGCGCGGGGTCGGCCACGTGC